GTTTCGTAAAGAAATAGTTAAGGTAATGTAAGTATATCGCATATCGCAGACGAGACTCAATTTGTGCATAATACAGCATCAATAACTGGTTTTCACTTGAAACTCGTCTGATGTACTTATGGATAAAATCAGGGATATAAAGTGGATGATCCAACACTTGGATTCCAGATTCTTGCGCCCGTGCGTTGTAGATTTGAAGATACCTTGATACGACAGTAATTTTTTTTAAGAATCTTTGAGTCCTTAGAGCCCATAAAACTTGTATTTTACTTTGAACTGTGCATTATCAAATTGCACATATCATCCTACTCACGATCAACTAACACATATTTCTTTCAGAAACCATATTCACTATAGATATTATGCTCTTATCGAATTGTCATAAAATTTTTAAGACCTTCGCGTGCTCTGTCTTATCAGCGGTTATTGTTAAAGAATTGTTTTATAAATAGCGAGATAGGAAGTTTACGAGGCATTTTTAAGACTTTGCCATTGGGCAGATATCTTTAGCAGAACCGTACTGTGCGAGTATTTTCAACGATAGGACTCTTACGAAGAAAGAAAAATTAAATATGCCTCAGAAAAATGATGTACAGGCAAATAGCTATATTGCGTGATTAGCTAAATCTACCTACCTGCTCTGGTCTATACAGGGTGCCCCGAAACAAGTGTGTAATATTCTACCAGCGGTTTCTAGAGCTTAAAATAGGAAGAACAGTTTATATAAACAAAGGTCGACAAACGTCCCCTAAGGGCGCTACGGTCTTTTAAAGGGGCTCCCCTGAAGATGGTTTTTCCTTAATATTTCCGAAACGTGTTAAGATGAAGACATAAAATTTGATATTCTAGCCTATTTCGTCATGCTGGATTTAAAAATATTAACAATTTTAGACAGTTTTGTTTGGAAGCGTATGTAACATTGACGGACTCAGGTTATTTTAGCCCCAAAATTTTTGTCTGATCCTATTTTTGAAATTCAATTTTAGAATTTGAAAATTTTGGGTTTTCTACATAAAAAAGGTACTCTTATTGAATATCAAATTGTGGCATTTTTGAATAAAAACAAACTAAAAAATTTGTCACATGATAGGAAATGTACTGCAAATTTAAATGAATTGTTGATTACACATAGTTAGCCATGACTGCAAACAAAAGTTGTTTTGATTTGTTATGACTTATTTTGACGTTAAGCTGACCTTGTTAGCAGTGTAAAATTACTAGATTAAAATCAAGATTTTTGTTAAATCGATTTAAAACACCAAGATTTACAGAGAGAGAACTGACTGACATGCATTTTGTGTACGGGTTTTGCAATGGCAGTTCATTGGCTGCCGTAAGAGAATATCAAAGAAAATTTCCCAATCGCATAGTACCTGGACGTCGAATGTTTACTGATATTCACCGGAATTTGTCAAACCATGGAAGTTTTCAGCGCATGCCTGGCTCAGGAAGGCCACTGGGAAATCATCGTCTGGATATTGCTTTAAATATGTTTGAAAATGATCTGCAAATAAGCATACGAAATGTTTTCGAAATTATGGATATACCTAGATCAATAGTAAGAAAAATGTATGAATACCTATTTGATAGTTATCCTAAAAATAATAATTTTAGATAGGAAGAATGATTACATCCTTATCATTTTAAACGGGTGCAGCATTTACCGGAGGCAGATTTTTACCACGAATCGAGTTTTGCCAGTGGATATTGGCAAATGAAAACACTATTCCTAGAATATTATGGTCGGATGAGTCAATATTTACTAGGAATGGTGCTTTTAATTTCCATAACGTGCATCACTGGTCAGATGAAAATCCAAAAGTTGTTCGCCGTACAAATTTCCAACATAGATTTTCATTGAACTTATGGGCAGGAGTAATTGGGGATCAAATAATTGGACCTATTGACTTCCCAATCGTCTTAATTCAGAGGTGTATCTGAACTTTCTTCAGAATGAGCTCATGGATATAATACCATTGGATATGCAGCAGTTTCAAGAAAATATGTTTTTTCAACATGATGGAGCCCCTGCACATTTTGGACGCAATGTTTGAAATTGGTTGAATGTCAATTTTCCAGACAGGTGGTTACGCCGAGCAAGTCCTATAGCGTGGCCGCCACGTTCACCTGACTTAAATCCATTGGATTTCTATTTTTGGGGGTCATTAAAAGACCTAGTTTACTCGACTGAAGTAACTAGTCAAGAAGATTTACTTCAAAGAATCCGTCAGGCTGCAAATGAAATAAGAAGAAAAAGGTTTTCCACTTTTCGGGCTACGCAATCATTAGTTCGTCGAGCGAGACTCTGTATCCAACAAAATAGGAATTTATTTGAACACTTATTGTAAAGCTAGTTTTAAGTATATCCAACTGTATAAGTCTTCTTTTTTAAACAAATTTCAATTCCGTTCGTAGAAAAAATGTATGTCTTTTGTTTTTGCCTAAATGTTAGGCTATGTTGCAATAGAAATATGTATTTATGTAATATTTACCAATTATTAAATTAGTTTTTTCGTCGCCATGGCTAATTATTCAACAATTCATTTAAATTCGCACATTTCTTATTATGTGACAAATCTTTTAGTTTGATTTTATTAAAACGTGGCTCAATTTATCGATATTCAATAAGAGTACCCTTTTTATGTAGAAAACCCTAAATTTTCAAATTCTAAAATTGAATTTCAAAAATAGAATCACACAAAAATGTTGGGGCTCAAATAACCTGAGTCCGTCCCTGTTATATACGCTTCCAAACAAATTGTTAATATTTTTAAATCCAGCATAAAAAACTAGGCTAGGATATCAAATTTTTTGTCTTTATCTCAACACGTTTCGGAAATATTAAAGAAAAACCATATTCAGGGGAGCCCCTTTAAAAGACCGTAGCGCCCTTAGGGGACGTTTGTCGACCTGTGTTTATATGAACTTTTCTTCCTATTTTAAGCTCTAGAAACCGCTGGTAGAATATTGCACACTTTTTGTTTTGTTTGAACTTATTGAGATTTTTCTTAGCCTGTGTTGTATTTTTCTATTTATTCTAGAAAGCCACACAAACTAAAACAAAAACTTCGACACATTTTTTTAATTTGTGGACCAGAATCTAAAAAATTTAATTCAAACAGTCTCTGTATGAAAGAAACTCCGCCGTTCAAATATGTGGTTCCCACTCTAGAAAAAAGAATAAATGTTGAATAATACCCTATTTTGAATTCCAAAATACATAAAGCAGATGATAGAAGTTTCACCTGAGAGTTTTCTATTTTATTCCTTATTGAGGTTAGATATTTCTCCATTAGATGTCTCTGTACCAATACCAGGTGCGGTCATCTCTTACATACCTTTCTAAGCAATAAACACTCCTTACAGCTTTCTTCTGCTATTATTAATTGAAATTGATAGTTTCACAAGAAGATGTCACTAGTAGCTAGTAGAACATCTGCTATGTGGACAGATTATTTTGAATTGAAGCACATTGGTAGAAGGGTTTATCTCTGCACATTGGTATCCATATCCAAGCAACTGGTTCAAAATAAGAATGAGCCATAGTTGTCGGTGATTGTGAACCATGGAAAACACCGTTGAATATTTATCGATTAGAATGCCGTGGCATATCGATAATGAATGTCGTCCGACAATAGGAAACCAGTTTTGTCGTTCTTTTATCCATACTTTAGCAATATATTATTTTAAGCAACTTTTATCTGAACACTTACTTCCCACTGTGGTTTTACACGCCAACCTGAAGTCAATTTGCACTAGGTTCTTTCATGGTTCATTTGTTGATATACTTGGAGGGCAGTGCGGTGTATCTCTAGGATCTCTGGGAGTCAAAGTACAAAGTCTACATATAGGACCAACATCAAATAGACATACGTCAGTACAGTGGCGGATTTAGACCTAGACGTCTGACACTTGCTTTTGTCATCTAACACCATTGCGTTGCTTTCTGACACATCATGGCGACAGAGGCATACTAACTATAAGTGATAGCTTTAGCAACTGAACATTGCGATTTTTTGGTATCCTTTGATGTTCCAAACGCTGTCCGTCTTCTACATCACTTACTATTACAGCACAATTCTTACGATTTATACGTACATTCGAGTATTGTGACTTGTGACAAATCTAAGTCTGAGCAATATATTAGCTTTATAGATTGCACTCAAAAAGTCATTTATGTTCTGTTTGTTGCTCAATAGTAATTTGAAAAAAGTGTAAAGCTTGATTGATTTTGTTCGGGGTTGGTGTTGCAGCGAAGCACTATTAGTCTAATCATAGATGAAAATACGCCTGGTTTTCGAAATACATAATTGTAAAGTCCGGTTTTATTGCAACTATGAAAATCAAGGATGCCATAATTTTTCTCTATTTCAGAAAGGGGTATTTCTAGATTTCTACTGTTCCGTGTCAGTGACAGCGCTCTCCTATTGTGATGTTGTTTTCTTTTTGAATTGTAGGAAATTACATGCTTACAAAACAGATGACATAAATGAAAATCACGTTGACGTCGGCTGTGTCAAAATCATGAAAAATTTGATGCAAATAGTTATCTGTGACATAATAGAACACTGTGACGAAACAGTAGAAAACCATCGAAATCAAGGAGGCCATAAACACATCCTACAATATTTTAGTTTTAGGAACGACTGACCGACTGACGATACGGACCTTAGTCTTAGTAGTAGTAACAGAACAGTGAAGCTCGGCTCACAGAAGTAGAAGACTGTAGCGTTAGAATCGTTAATTTACTTTTACCGTAAGAGATGTCAGCGTCTGTAAGACGTATACTATAGTGGCATCTAGCGGTCAGAATTTTAAATATTACTATTACTAAGGCAGTCAACTGTAAATGCTTGCTCTGCCATCTATTGAGAGCCTAATTTATTATATGTGGTTATTACATTGACAGGAAACTGTTATGCCCCCTTACTCTTTACTCAAGTTTCCTTCTGAAGATGACAGCCTAATCTGGAAATAATTCGGTAAAGAAAGCGAGATAGATTCATAGTTACACCATACGTAAGACAAAGAAAAAGGAGGTGTAAATGACACTTTTCAAGTGAGAGTTTAACAAACTTTCGATTTCATTTCCTGGTCTGCGAAACTGTTTAGAAAATGAATAAAACTTGCGAGGTTTGCCAAAAAGAAGGAAGATACAAATGCCCTACCTGCCTTATTTTCTAGTAAGTGTTGTTTGACTTCTCATTGTTGTAACATCATTTTAAAATATCTTAACCAAAAAATTATTCTATAGCTGTTCAGTGACCTGCTGCAGGAAACACAGAGAAAATAAATGCGAAGTTCTCAAAAGCGACCTAAAAGAAGATGATAAAAATGAACTTATCGTGAAGAAAAGGAAACTAGAAAGTACAGAAACGGATACTGTGCTTAAGGAAAAATTGGAACTTATTAGTAAGTTAATTTACATAAAAACATGCTATATCTCAAATTTTTGAGACAAAACTAGGCTCTAGCTTCAGTTGTAATGTCAACAGAAATGCGCCAAGCTTCAACTATGTTCTGATAAGTTCAAGTGAAAGATCTGCTTGTCATGTAGCACAGAAAGTTCCGGAGACCTGTTTATTCAGTTTTTTTTCATTGCCCAGTAGGCCACTGTAAGGGTTCCTGAATGTAGAATTGAAGAGTGATAAGTTAAAAGCACCAAAGTGCCAAAAAGGTTTTGTTGAGAAATTAAAGAAAAACAATATGTCAGTGGAGATAGACTGCAGCAAATTTGAAATACGTATATGGAACTCCAGATTCTTGACTGGCACATAGACTGTTTGCTATTCAATTGTTGATGGTATATAGACCTTAAAATCACTGGAATTCAAAAATACCTAAATTTTGCACTTAGATGCTTTTGAATACCACTTCAATTGGACTTTTAAGGGTATAGTTCTACATAAAACACAAAAAGGAAAAAAACATGAGATCACCTTATTTCATAATTGAAATACTAGGTATAACTGTGCTATTTTGAGTACTTTGTCTATGACTATGTGATGTAAGAAACATCTGTCTTTGATATACATTTCATGGTAACAAGATATACCCACTAAGGCCCATATCGTCAGTCGTCCCTACAATTGTAGGGCGCGTTTATGGCCTCCTTGATTGTCATACTCCGTTCTCTCCTTAAAAAATTTCTAGATTGCACTCGTCCCGTGTCAGCATCAGCACTCTCCTATTGTGAAGATATGTTTTCTTTTTAAATTGTAGGAAATTTCAGGCTGATAAAACATGATACAACTCAAAAGCAAGCACAATTTGATGCAAATAGATGTTTGTGACATAACCTCAAAATAGAGCGCTGACATGGAGAAGTAGAAAACTATGACAATCAAGGAGGCCATAAAGGCGCCCTACAATAATTGCAGGGACGACTGACGATACGGGCCTAAGATAGCTAATGGACTCTCTTAATATCAGGCATAAAATCTGTAGTTTGTATTTTCAATTTTGTGTCTTTGCTATGAAATTGTTGCTTTACAGAAACCAGTGAAGATGTCAAGAAACTGTTGGCTAATGGTCATCTACGCAATTTATTGGTAACCATCGATAAGTCTGAAAATGCTGAAGAAGTGATGCAGAAGGCGATGCAAGAACCTATTTTTTTAGAGTTTGCTGATGCTTGTCTCAAGGTTGTTGAACCACAGGCTGAAGAAGATGCATAAGACTGAATCTCTGTTTTTAGTATCTGGACTTTTATATACAACATGCACTTGACAGTGTATGCAGGAATCTGTAGATAGACTAAGGACATTTCAAAAAAGTTTAAATTAAAAGTAATGCAGTATTAAGGCTTATTTACAAGTTAAATATTTCGTTAATATTTGTTGCTTGATTTAGAATGCCCAGAATATGACTATTATGGAGTTATACTCATGGTTTGATATTTAGAATTTACGATATGACCTACAAAAGTGAAGAGACATGGAATATTTTTAATCCTGAGTTATTTATAATCGTAGGTACTTCATGCCTTCAAAAATCATTTATCTCAAAATTATATTTAGTCAAAAAATGCAAAAATATCTCACTCTCTGATAGTTGTGAGTCAAGCCAAAAACTAATTATTGAAATAATTGCTACATTTATATCGACTTTATTTCATTAGTTTTTGCCCACTTTTAGACAACAGCTTAGTTCTATTAGTCATGCAAGAGTTAATTGTTAGTGTTGTAAATCAAATTATAAATAATTTTTTTTTGTATATTAGCTTAATTGAATTGAACACATAATTGAGTATTTTAAAAAGATTAAAGTTTATTCATCTTGATATTACCTAGGACATGAAAAAAGATAACTATGTTACAAGATAATTTATTTCAAATGCAGAGCTTTTCATTTTTTAGTCTTAATGGACGTGGCACATTCCTTATGGCAAATGGCTCCTGGTCAAATTGACTGCAATTTTAGTATATTTTTCTCCATATCAATCTGACCAAAGTCTCCAGTCCTAAAATCAAAAGTGTCCATGTTAATAGGTAAGAAATGTGTCTGATGAGCCAAATCTTCATTATAGAAGCTACTTAGTTTTTAATCAGTGGTCAAAGGAATCGTACAATCATGTATATCGTAAGCCTATAGCTTTTTTGTAATTGTTGAGCTTGTAACTTGAAAGCCGTTGATTTTAGGACGATAGTTCAATGGATACTTTTGATCAGATTGCCAATTTGACCTTTCTGTCATGGTTGTTGATGTTTCTCTATGCTTTTCTCAGGGTTTTTCTTTATTTTTGTTGGTTTCATCGTATCATTGCTTTACTATGTGATATTCATATATAGTTTTAATAAGTCTTATATAGACAGTTATCTTTTATACAGATTGTACTTAACTATTTTATAGTTAAAAATATACATGTATAAGTTATGTAGGATATCTGTTATTTTCAAAGTTACATCACAGTGTACTGAATATCTAATGTGTTGAATATATTCTACTTATATGTATAAGTGATTTTCATTTCATCACATTTACTAACTAATTTCATTTTAGTTCCTAAGCCAAAACTGGCGAGGAAGTATTGTGAAATCGCGAAAAATTGTTATATGACATGTATATTACGAAAAAACATGTCACTCATTTCCGTCGATCTGACTGTTCGCTCGGATTTTGATGAAATTTTCACACCAGGATGAAAAAGTTATAGTTTTTGAAAATCGGTTCAGTGATGGCGGAGCTAGGATCAAAAACACGAAAACAATAAAAATCTCTTAAACTTCGCCTTTTGACATTACAGAGGCTACTGATCATTTTCGGAAAATTTTTGTAGGGGTTGAAACTGGTAGGCTGTAGGGAGTTATAAATCTTGCGTACTAGTCGAAGACATTCTATCATTAAGAAGCTTCTGATTCAGGTAACAACGGAAAATTAAATGATAAAGGTGTGATGAATAATGTGCTTCTAGCTCGAAATGACTTGGCAATCGTTGGCGTTGCGTGCACGGCATGATGCTGCATCGCCGTGGAGGCCACTGCCGACTGTAGTGCAGTGGGTGACAAACTCCAACTAGTCTGTGGTGGTGTCGTCACTGACACACCGATACAGGACATATATTAAAACTAAATGATGACTTGATTGTTTTTATATCTACACATATATGTTTCCGAATTTTATGATCCTTAAATGTACCACCCGTTTCACCTAATCTTTAAAATTACACACAAATGTGTTACTCCGTCTATGATGGTTCTCTGAATATTTCGTGAAGTAGGTCGACTCAGTACTTTGAAACCTCTAACGAAGGCGTAGGAGGCATAGAGTGCCATTTTTCTTTGCAAATAAAGATGCGCTGAAAGTTGGTATGGTATAAAGCACTTAGTGCTTGAGTGATTTATTCCATGATGCTAATAGTAATCATATTTATTTGGAGTAAAACAACACTCCAAAGAGAATAAGCAAGTTGAAATTATTTTATATAGAGCCATGGGTTTCATCTTATCTCTAGTTTTACATAGAGTATTGCAATGTTATAAAATTGAGGCTTCAACGTAATTTGGAAAAGTTCTAAATATTTATTCAACAAGCAACGTGCTGTATAAATGAAAGCTTTTTTGAATTCATATTGTAGCGTTTTTTTGGATCATTTTGGGTGTGGAGTAAAACACTGGATTCCACAAAAAGAAATGTACTAATTTATTTAACTTGACTAGGTATAACATTTATGTACAGCACTATTTATGTCTGAATACTTATTTACGAATTATGTCGCGTCATTCACTGAACTATACTCTATACTGCTTCCCTCTCTCGGCCGTCGACCTATATAGTCCGCATCGCAGGTACTCGTTGATTCGAGAAGGTTCCGGTGAGCCAGAATCTTCGAGGTCACTTCGCGACGATCTCGAAGAAAAGTCCTCTACAGATGTCACCAGTACCGAAGGAGAGTCTGGCGCGGTCCCCAACAGATGTCGCCAACAGTACTATTAATTCTTGTTACAATATGTTACATGGCCTGAAATATTATAACAATCATCGTTTGTTAGAAAAACATGGCGAACAGAGGATCTGCTGTAGAACATTATTTAGACAATTTGGAGATTTCTATCTCAAAACTTACAATGCAGCTTCATAAAAAAGCAATGGACGGTACTTATATATTAAAACAAAAGTCTTGACGTCGTCTCATATACTGAGCGGATGCTTTTGGTCGTCTATTTCTTGTGAACACACTTTTTTGTTGCTATTAGGTCTGGTATTTTCAGAAAATTGACGAGATATGTGTTTAATTTATGATTATGTCGAATGAAACACAGTAAAGGGCTCTTCAAGTTCGAAATGTACGTCTTTTTGGAGAAACACGGCATCACATGCTATTGTTTTTTTAAAATGTACAGTGATGACGTTGATCAGAAATACTAATTTGAAACTTTTTTCGACGTTGGTTTTCAGAAAAAGAAACTTTTTATTGGAGTATATTTACAAAAAATTGTGCTTAGTGGTGAGCTCGACCGATATCTAAGCTCCATGCGTGTTCACTGTTTGGTCATTTTGTTTTATAAATCTATGAATTTGTCAGGCTTACTCGTGTTTAAGGTACATTGTGGTAAACATTTAGTAGCGACGATGGTATTGCCACATAGTCAATAAGACTTGGGTTACATCCAGAAAACAAGAAGTGTCTTGACCTTCTGTGAAAAAGCAAAGCGATTTTAATAAATTGCTATAAACAAATCCTGATCCATCGGATGACTGGAACGCGAGATCAAACGGTGTTTTTTAGTTCTTTATTAACCATTTCGATATACTTTGAACAAATGCTCCTGAAAAATTGCGAAAAAAGAGTGGTAGCTAAGTAGAATATGAGTTTCGGCGCCTTTCTACAACTCCTGAACTCGCTGCTTCAGGGGCGTCGTTTTAGCTCGTCAGTTTTTCAGGAGCATTTGAATATACCGCGCGATTATTTTTGCGAGCGACTGTGCGTCATATCGACCTCAGATAGACGTCATATCCACGTCATATCGACTTTGTATTTGGTCTTTTATAGGGCAAACTATGACGACATATAGTGACGTCAATTGGGTGTGACAGTAGACCGTCATAATAACGTAATTCCTACGTCATTTTTGTTGGTCGGCGTACGTCAGTATAGTGCCTTAAAATGCCGGAATTATGTCGTCACTATGTTCACTGGGAATGTACAGATCAGTAATGACCAGAAATACCAAGTTGAAACTTTTTTCGACGTTAGTTTTTAGTAACCTTCTATTGGAGCATATTTTGCTGGAAAATCCTCATGATCAAAGGTAAGCTCTTGCGAATGGAATGAAAAAGCTTCACAAAGAGCAGCACAAATAATGTGGATTTCTTGATTCTAGTATAAAAGCCAAAATATGGTGACTTGAAAACTTGGAAGCCTATAGATTGCAATGCATCCCTATTTTGTAGCGTTGAATGGTAATAAAAACATAAAAAAATGATGATTTAACTAAAATAATTTAATGAGGTTGGCTGCATAATACAACTTTCAACTATACACACATATTAACAGCTAAGCTTATTACTAAAGTTATCACAGTTCGTCACGTTCCTGGCTCTTAACAGCAACAGTATAGCTAAAGAGATCTTCGGGCAATGAAATGTTTGCATACTGTTGCGCTAAGCCCCAGTATCTGCGTCTGAGATGGTGGGCACTGGCTTTTGGTTGTCGGCTTCTTGTGAAAATACCTTTCTTGTTACCACCGACCCTGGTATATGCTAGAAATGAAAGTACAAGGTTTAAATAAAAAAGCAAGCAATGTACAATACAGTGGATGTCAGATATGTAGGTACATAACGAAGAACCTGTGGTAAACAGCGCCTCACCGGTCAAGAATAATAATAATAAAAGGTCTTTATTGGAATACAAATGTTTTATTCCTTATACGCGGATTCTGGATAAATCTATTTCACTCTACTTACTCCAATATTTAGTAGTTAAGGAGAATATGATATTTCAACAAATACACATTCAAAAATTATATATGGATGATTCCTAAGCAAAAAGCAAAACCTTATTCTGGTTCTGAATTCATTTTAATGAATTACTATGTCTTCTTTGATATGTTCTTTTCTCTGTAAATAGTGATTGATGATGATAGACTTACTTTGGGCAGTTTTAAAATCGGCAAAGTTCCAAATGAATTCTCCAATAAAAAATCCTTCCTCCCTCAACTGATCAAATGCTTGAAAATGACTGGACAGCAAGCTAACTTGGTATTCTTCAGACCATATGTACGATGGAGCCTGAAACAACAAAATGTCAACTACAATTTCCTGCTATAAAATTCATGATTTAAGGACTAGCAGATTAATCATTTTATTGAGAGAAATGCGACGTGAGGATATACTATAGTTTCCAAGATAATGTGACTTTACATCTGTAGATTATTTTGCTACGCTGATGAACCAAATTTTGAAACTAACGTAGCGTTCTAGCAAATATACGTTATAAATGATCTGAAAAGGGTTCGATTGCACTTTCCCAAAATCAGTCCAGTACAGTTCAAAACCAATATCGACATATCATTCTTTATTCATATCCACTTGTTACATATTTGCGTATGTGGTAAAAAAATGTAACACAAAACAATAAAGACGAATAAAAATGTAACAAACACATGAATGAATGAATAATTATTGATACCATATTTACGTACTCAAGTTCAAGTGCGTACATTCCAAGTACTCAGCTATATTGTAATATGATTTTTTAACAATGATTTCTTAACTTTTCTTTAAACTGAAATATAATGACTAGTTTGTTGACTGGTTTGAGGCAGTTTTGAAATAAGTGGTAGTGGGCGTTCTGAACTATTTTCAATTCTTAATTTCTTGTGTTGTACTCGTGATACCACTGACATATGGAAATTACAACAGTCCTAATTGAATTTAGGATTAGCCGATTTCTTCGGCACCATGATGAAAACTCATCCAATATTCGTTGAAATTTAGTTATATGCCCGTCAGGGATATGAGTTGAATAGCAATGGTCCTAATAAAGGGTGGGCCATCCGTTGGTTTCTTTTTTAAATTGGTATTAAAACTACACTCTTAATAATATGTAACACTCGATACTTCATTCAAAAGGATACATCTTCCGATTAATTATAAAAACCACTTCAGTTAAATGGCTGCCGCGGCTGGCCTGGCAGTAGTAGATGCATTGAATAAAAATACCAGATACATTAGATTTCGATTATACACTACTGCAATTAGGACATTTATAACGCATTCTTATTTTTATTCTAACTGTATTTCTCTAAAATAAACCTTTACTTACAAAATGCAGCCCTTCCAAGGTATCTCCTCCATACTCTTGCATAATAACTGGTTTATTGAATTTCTCATGCCAAGCTTTGGCTTCTTTCATAACCAGTGAAGCTACAATATCCAAGTTGCCTTCATTTTGATACCAGCCATTATATCTGTTGAAACTTATTATATCCACGTAGTACGACTAGAACAAAGGATATACTGAGTTATACAGGGTGTCCCAGAAGTCGACGTCAAGCCGAAACCGGGTGATAGGCAAAGTCATAACAGCTATCATAAAAATATTTAAAAAAATTTTATGTATGTGTTTTGAAAATTGTAGGTGTTTGAAAAATATATAGAAATTTCACACCCTACGGCAGTCTGTCAACTCCTGTTACTACAAATATTAACTTTTTTTGGATTTTGTTTTTACAATGTAATGATGAATAATGCATCTTCAAACTGGTGTCTCAACCTTACTGCCAACTTTTCTCGTTCAGGAAAAATTGCCACTTATTTCCCAACCAAGTATTCCAAAGTAAAACTTTGCTCAATTTTAACTGGCTGTACTGGAAAAAAATGTACTACGAGAGTTTGGCAAGTAACCTTAAAAGTTGGCGCATTTAATAAGGATTCCAAAATGGTATAACACTTAGAAGATTACTCGTTCACTTATGCACAATTTTTATTTGAAGAAAAACTGATGAAAATTTTTCAAAATTTCCTAATTAAACAGCGATTATGAAAACGCACAAGGACCCTTAAGGATAACTGTTTGCACAACAGTGGGCGTCAAAATGCTGCTGATGATGATTTACCTTTACAGCAAATGCTCAAACTGTTTTCCTTCAGCCGCAATACACGCTCGACATCTTCTTAAAAAAGATCGGGTTATTAAACGAGCGAATCCACGGTTATTAACAAACTCAGCTGCTTCCAATAGTCTTTGCCGTAGCTCAGCTACATTTTAAATCGGATTGAAATACACTTTTTCTTTTACAGTTCCCCAGTAAAAAAAAATCTAACGGATTCAAATCTGGTGACCGAGCTGTCCACGGTATTGTACCAGACAGCCCTATCCATCTGCCTGGAAAGTTTTGATCGAGATACTCTCTCACTGAGAGTGCTTAGTGCGCTGGGCAGCCATCATGCTGAAACCACATGTCCCTGTAAATACTCAGTGGCAAGTCCTCCAATAAATTTTCTAAATGATTTTGCAAAAAACCTAAATAAACCTCAGCAGTCAAAGTCTCTGGGAACTCAAACGGACCGATTATTTTACCATTTAAAATTCCTGTCCAATGGTTTATCTTGAAGCGATATTGAGATTTATCTTCTCTCACCGAATGCGGGTTTGCTACGTGCCACTCGTGTAAGTTATGCAGGTTCATGTACCCATCTTTCTTAAATGTGGTCTCATCTGACCATACAATTTTTTCAAAGAACCGTGGATCTTCCCTGTGTCTTTCTAACATTGTGCGACAAAAAGCAACTCGGGGCTCATAATCCTGGGGCAGAAGAGCTTGAACACGCTGTACGTGGTATGGATGGAGCACGTTTTTTTGCAAGATTCTATGGGCTCTACTTTTGGGCACACCTGTTTTTAGTTCTATTGCACGCACTGAAGTACTCGGGTCTTCTTCGACAGCTCCTAGCACCACGTCTTCGTAAGGAAGGAAAGATCTTCCCTCACCGTGTGATTGGTATGGTAGTTGGCCCTCTGAGAACAGTAAGCGGTGCACATTTGTGAACACTCGATGATCTGGACGACGAGCTGCATTCGGGTACCTCTCACAGTAAAGTCTCGCTGCAGCACTAGCGTTGCATCTGCATTACCCATAAATGAGGTGCATGTTAGCATATTCTTGTACGGTGTACACGGACATAGCGGCACTGCACAATCACACTATCAAAGATAGTCTAAGGAAAGCAAATGTTGTTTTGAAGAGCAATTAAACAGTCCAAATCCAAATCACAAGCGATCAACAGTCCAGTTCACGAATCCAAAATTAGTAACAGTACGAAATCAACAAGCACGAACATGTAAAGATGCGCAGTAAACGAAGGAGTACTGATCGGTATCAAAGTGTGCAATAGCAAGTAAGTGATGTGCTTCATCCATACCACATACAGCGTGTTCAACCTCTCCTGCCCCGGGATTATGAGCCCCGAGTTGCCTTTTGACGCACAATGTTAGAAAGACACAGGAAAGATCCACAGTTCTTTGAAAAAAATTTATGGTCGGATGAGACCACATTTAAGAAAGATGGGCACATGAACCTGCATAACTTACACGAATGGCACGTAGCAAACCCACATTCGGTGAGAGAAGATAAATCTCAATATCGCTTCAAGACAAACCATTGGACAGGAATTTTAAATGGTAAAATAATCGGTCCGTTTGAGTTCCCAGAGACTTTGACTGCTGAAGTTTATTTGGATTTTTTGAAAAATCATGTACAAAATTTATTGGTGGACGTGCCACTGAGTATTTACAGGGACATGTGGTTTCAGCATGATGGCTGCCCAGCGCACTATGCACTCTCAGTGAGAGAGTATCTCGATCGAAACTTTCCAGGCAGATGGATAAGGCGGTCTGGTACAATACCGTGGCCAGCTCGATCACCTGATTTAAATCCTTTAGATTTTTTTAGTGGGGAACTGTAAAAGAAAAAGTGTATTTCAATCCGATTCAAAATGTAGCTGAGCTACGGCAAAGACTATTGGAAGCAGCTGAGTTTGTTAATAACCGTGGATTTGCTCGTTTAATAACCCGATCTTTTTTAAGAAGATGTCGAGCGTGTATTGCGGCTGAAGAAAACAGTTTGAGCATTTGCTGTAAAGGTAAATCATCATCAGCAGCATTTTGACGCCCACTGTTGTGCAAACAGTTATCCTTAAGGGTCCTTGTGCGTTTTCATAATCGCTGTTTAATTAGGAAATTTTGAAAAATTTTCATCAGTTTTTCTTCAAATAAAAATTGTGGATAAGTTAACGAGTAATCTTCTAAGTGTTATACCATTTTGGAATCCTTATTAAATGCGCCAACTTTTAAGGTTACTTGCCAAACTCTCGTAGTACATTTTTTCTAGTACAGCCAGTTAAAGTTGAGCAAAGTTTTACTTTGGAATACTTGGTTGGGAAGTAAGTGGCAATTTTTCCTGAACGAGAAAAGTTGGCAGTAAGGTTGAGACACCAGTTTGAAGATGCATTATTCATCATTACATTGTAAAAATAAAATCCAAAAAAAGTTAATATTTGTGGTAACAGGAGTTGACAGACTGCCGTAAGGTGTGAAATTTCTATATCTCTTTCAAAGATCTATAATTTTCAAGACACATACATAAAATTTTTTTAAATATTTTTCTGATAGCTGTTATGACTTTGCCTATCACCCGGTTTCGGCTTGATGTCGACTTCTGGGACACCCTGTATACTAAGTGACAAAAAAGGTAAACAACTACGTATCTTTATTAGAATTCAATAATTTTTTGCGTATCGATTTATCTTGCCATGAACAACAAGTGATAAAATGGTCAGGTTTTTCTGTTAATTTTTTGAGGTGGCTGCGTGTATTGCTTGGTGATAAAGAAGCATCCAGTTTTCGTACGTTTAAGGTGTCAGTTAAATGTTACATGCCTGGAGTGCGTAGTATTCGCCGGATACGTCAGTTTGGCCTTTTTTCTTATCGCCCACATTGGGTTTGCTCTGCTGTAGAGATCTACCTAAACACCATCCAAAACCCGATTTTTCAGCAAGACAATGCCAGAGCATCGTTAGCCTTCGTGGATCAACATCGCATGAACAGTTTACCTTGGTCACCACGATCGAATTTAATCATTTTACTAGTAAGGGACACTGAAAATTATTAAAATCGGATAAACATACGTAGGTGTTTACCTTTTTTGTCACTCAGTATCACAGATAAAGGTATTTTAATCAAAATAAGAAATATACAATCGACTAATAACGTGCTATATTTATTATCTAGAACTTTTGTTGTTTGAAGAATATTTCCTTCTACAGTATATTTAAATGCCCAGTGGAGCATGGATACCTGAACAGGCAACGACAAGCGAATACAAGCGAGTGCTTATGTGTCTTTTGACTCGGAGTAAATGTTAATGCGGTGAATGTGGTCAATTCTAGAGTCGTTCGCTCCCATTTAATCTTTGTATCTATATATTTCGTACAAAAGTACAAAATTGGCGAAGTATTGCCAAAGGGTAGCGTTTGCAACTTGACCTTTGAAACAAAAAAACCAAAAAATTAAAATAATGTAATACTGAACTAATAGAAATCTATGCGTATTACTCAATAATAACTAGTTCATTAACAATACAAAAAATATAAGCAATTACAAGTATAGTCCATATTTCCAACATTTTGTTTTCATCATCAGACCTTGGCATGCAGTTTTAGTTTTAGTTTGCAACAGCTAGTATATATTTTAGCTTTTGGTGCTATTTAAAGATTATTCTTCCTTGCTGAACTGATGTGACTCCTTGAAAATTACTTACAGATTCCACAACATTAACATTTTGAGCTTCAACTATCGTAGTAGGCCTAGAGACGTCCAAGCTTTTTATATGATCGATTACTTTCCTACAATTGAAGAAAAGTTGAGTTGAAATTTTACGTGATTAAAATCAAAAATAATGTAACTAACTTGAAGTAATTTTTAGCTGCACTATACTGAGTTCTTGGTTCGTTCGAAGCACTCCAGATTATAACCGCAGGTCTGTTTTTGTCTCGTTTTATCAGTTCGGATAATGACACCTTATGCTTCACTAGCAGAGTGTCTGAGAAAAATCTGAAAAGAAACATGCAGTCAGAGTCTACACATTTGCGTTTTTGATAGGCACCCTTTTCCAAGAAATTAACGCACCACAGTTGTATATATATATATAGAGTCTTCCCAGTGAACATGATGACGCCAAAATGACGTCAATATTCGGTCACTTTTGGTAGGAAATGTTACTGACTAAAAAATGACGTCCTTATTGGCGCCATTTTTATGATGATAACAAGATGTCGTTTTGCCGTCTTTTTTAGGACAGACAGAAACGAATACTTTTAATGAACAGTAAGGTAAGCTAGATATCCAAATACTAATAACTACTTTATTGTTATTTATAAGAAAGTATCAGGAATTCTTCGACCAAAAATATCTTGTTAATATGACTTTTCTAATAGTAACATTATGTTCACATATTTCAAATTGCCATTTTACATCATGTTTAATCCCCATAAAAAAATTATTAGAAACTCCTCTGTATATTAACTAATAACAACAAACAAGTTTTACTAGAATATTCGTAATTAAGTGCGGTAAAAATTCGAATTTTGGAACGGTATATCATTCAGCCGAACATCAGCGAAGAAGCAGACATAGACATACAAAGAGGCAATACTATAATGTGGTTTTAGTTTAAACACCTGTAGTAGCTGCCGCATTTACTACCTTATTTTGTTTAGGAAGATACGTCGTAGTTTTAGCTTGTATATACAATATATATATATATATATATATAAAAAAAACGGTGCAAATACAGTCAACACAGTAACTTCGCGATATTTACTTAAAAACATATTCAAAACAGGCAACTGATTCTAATAAAAATTTGATGCAACCTTGGCTACTTTCTTGGCAACGCGATAATTTCTTGGAGAACGTATCAAGATACCGACAGCGCTATTACGTGAAAAACCTATAAAACGTCAAAAAAAAACGACAAACAGTCAATTTGCTGCCTAGATAGTTCCTAGTGTGCAAATAGGACATTCCACGTTTGCTCGCTATGAGCGCCATCAAAAACGACTATCTATGGAAGAATTGACTTAACGAGACACAAGTCAGTTCCCCATCATGCTTTGTTGGTTGCAGAATGCCGAGATAGTCTATAGAGTATACTCTGAGAAGATGTGTGGTTGAGTAGCAGAGTAGCAAGATCACATCTGGATGATGTATTGGTCCGCATATGTATAAAACCAGTGATATTTAGTAGGCGAGGCAATTATTACTGAATATACTGCCCATATAATATATCTACTAGCTGTGCCAGACGGGTTTGTATTGCCCTTCGTGAAGAGAGGTTATGTTCAAAGTTATACATTACAATTGTCCCCGTTTTTGTCTTTGAGAAGCATTATGCAGCCGCGATGTGTGTAATTAAGCCACATCACAGAAAAACGGGGAATGAAGGATCACATACAAAACATTCTGGCACTGCCTCACAGCTAGGTGCTGATCTGTTTTTTCTATTTGACTTCGTAAAATCAATTTATATGAAACTTAAATGACTGGAAACAAAAATGAATGTGAAATGTAATAACTTTTTTTACGTTTTATAAATATTCCTGTATGTACCATATTTTCTCACTTGTTAGTTTTAATATACTTCACGTACCAAGGATTTTCTTTTCTCATCGCTCTCTTTTTTTAAATCCAGTAAATTTCCCAACTAGCAAAGTAGTGCTATAAGCTTTTGGTAAAAGAACCGTTCAGCCATAAAAGCTCTCTATTGTTGTTGCCTGAACACTAAAATGCTGGCTTAATGTTGTGTGGAATGCAAATTTGCTTTCTGCAACATATTTGCTCTAAAATGAGGTGTTTAAAATATTCTTACAGCATAGTTACACAACACCTGACAGGACAAATTTTTAGCTGTTGCATAAACGTTTATACAACTATTTTATACGGCATATTTGCAGGTTAGTTAAAATGGTTGTGTTGTGGCATCCATGGTAACGTTTATAAAACAAACCCGAGCCTTGTTGTTTTGCTGTGCAAATTTACTACTTTAGCCAACAAATTGCTCCCACCGGAAGCACTTATACAACTGTTGTTTAGTAACTGTTAAAGGCTGTACATATGCTAAATATGTTGGTAAACTTCTCCATAACCTAACATTCTGCTGTCATATTTTTGTTAAAATGCCATATCCAGTGTTTTAAGACAACGCATGCATATTGGTTAAAAAGGTTTTATCAACTGTTCAAACAGAAGATATAGATCTGGTACAAATTCTAGGTAAATCATTCGACTCTGTCGGTATTTCTGACATTTGTCAAATTGTTGTATAACACCTGCAGGCAACACCAAAATATTCTAATAAACTAAAGACAACATGGACGATGCCATGATTATACACGACCACCCGCCATATTGAGCAAACATTTATTCCTCTATTTGATATTAAATAATTATGTTTCATTTCGAAATTACAGATATAAAGTGATAAACATTAGTGTAATTGTGTCTAAATATAGGATTTGTGGAAGATTTAACGCAGATAAGTTCAGTTTTCCATCTTAAAAATCTAGACATACTTTTGATCATTATTAAAATATGAATCAAATACGAAGCCCGTAGAAATTGCGTAACTACTTTGCACGATAATATCACAATAAAATTTGCTGCGCAATTAATTCAATAGCCCTATATCACAGTGTAGAAGTCTATCACATACCTGGGTATGAAATTCACAATGGCCGATACGTAAGTAAACAAGATGACTGTATTGTGTTAGTTATATATTCTTCACTTCGTCTCTACAATACATAAGAAATAGTTTGGTTGCAATAAAGTAGAATCACGTAACAGAATAGTTGTATAGTTGACAAAAACTGAATCTTGCACTGACGCAAATGTCCTATAGCGGCTGCAAGAGGCTTACACATTTGTTGTATAACTGTTACCTGCAGCCCTTACACAACTTCTTAAATGTCTGAAGTGTCCTATTAGGTGTGCCCATTCCGCTTGTATAGCTGTCCTAAGAGGGTTTTGCCAATGTTCTTACAGTATACAATGCTGTGTAAGGAATACTGTATAATCATTCTTGCAACTCTAATAGGAGTGATAATAATTGTTAGTTGGGTTGCATATTAAGTAATTGAGAACCGGATGCGCAACTAATTTTTAGCTTTGCATACATCACAAATATGTGTACCCGCGACAAGAAACCAATGGAATTATCATCAACCCAGATTATTAGCACACGAATCAAAATCAAACCTACATAATGTCAAAAAAAAAACGACATGATGACATCATTTTCAAGAAATGTAATACCCCCCTGCGGGTACACGGTTCATCACTTTACCACGCTGTATGACTTTTGAAGGGCCATTTTATATTTATTAGCACTCCATATTCCTATACATCAATAATGTGAAATGAAAGATTTCGTAATAACAGAATGAATCTAACTGCAAATGGTTAAAATATCTTACTCTGTATTAACACTAGGGCACTCGTCAATGATCATTATCCCCCTCTGATCGGCCAGATCCATGATTTCCTCAGCGTAAGGATAATGCGACGTCCTATAAGCATTTGCTCCGACCCACTGAATGAGGTCATAGTCTCTCAACACTAGAGGAGCATCGAATCCTTTGCCTCGAATGTCAGAATCTTCGTGTCTTCCAAATCCGTGTAAATACACTGGTTGCTTGTTGATGTACAGCGAAGTGTTAGTCCAGGTTATGGTTCTGATGCCTATTGGGAGAGTGTATTTGTCCACTAGGTCGCCATTGTCGTCTAACAGCTCCGCCTGGAATGCAGAATTATGACTTTCCAAATTATGAGCAGTTTTTTATTATAATGCTACTACGCTCGTTTCAATACCAGCAGGTAGCATTCTAGTGAAGAATAACTTGAGAAGAAGGAAACATGAGAACTGGTGGAATTCGAACCCGCATCTCGTCCATTCCGTTAAGCCGACCTAACCAATTAGTCTACAGCATCAGCTGTCAACCACCTTCGATTGCCAAATAAAATATAATCTCTCGATGTTGAACAATTTGGCAAAACTATGAAATTCTTCCTACTATCAGAAGCGTTTTTTGACGTCGAAGATTTCCTTAATTTCAATTTTTTTATTCTCTATTATAATTTTTTACCATCTTTATTTATTATTCTAAGTATAATTTTATTAACCTTTTTACCTTTTATTAGCACTTTGTGTCTCATGTTTGTCTTAATTACACATTGTTTGTTGTTTTTACTTACACGTTATGTTCTACTTTAACTGACTTGTGCAGACACATTTCTGGGTAATAGCAGCAATAAATTATTATTAAGCAAACCGGATTGGTAAAGTAAAGGGTGTCTCAACAAGAGTACCGGATTTGAATTTGCCGCCATTTTTTTTGTACAAATAATAATCAAATCCAAGCGAATAACCAAAATTTCTGTGTTATGTGCCGCGGTTTTAATATGGTTCAAGATGACACACGGGTGGATGACGTCAGTTACACGAATCGCTTCAACGCGTTGGTTTTAACCCCGGTTTTGTTGCATGTTGTTTATTTCAGAAAAGTGCGTATATAATAATATTCATGGGAGAAATGTTTTTTCAGATTTTAATTAATGATCGAACCATGGTTTTGTAGCTATGATAACTTTCAATTCTCTAAAGCTTCCGCATGTCAAAGAAAACATTTATTGATTTAGCAGAAATGATGAAAAAAGATATTAGCAAAACCGTATACAGTGAGTTAAATGGCTATATTTGAATATTCTTGTGGTATATGGCTACACAGGATACCTACTTTGTTAAACATAGGAACTAGATTGAAAGTGTTCCCAACAACAGCAATGAGTATAACTAATAAGGTGCTCCACTTTATGCTAACACTGAGGTCAGCCTGTATCAAGTTTCCCAAAAATGAAGCTGAAGTACAATAACAATATCCAATACCCGGCAAAATTCTAACTTGTCACATTTCAAATAATAACTAGAAATATAAAACTACTCCTGAGTTGGGTAAATACCACAATTTTGCGGTGATAACTGTGACATATAACAGCTGATTCATGACGTCACGGATCTTATAACCAAACTGATAACCACACTCGCTTGAACGGATCGGTAAATACCAACCCAAAATGGTAAATACCATTTTCATTTGGTTATCCGCTTGAATTTGATTGGTATGTTGGTTCATTTGATGACAGCTGTCATATCGTGACCACGCGATTAGACATCATGGAGCAGTATTCAAACCACCAACGTTTAATTATTGTGAAAACTCACTAAAAACATTTTCGATCACAATAGTGCGCCAAATGAGTCACAGTCCGCCGTTTAATTACAAAATTTAAGACAAAATTCATGTTGCTGAATGTGAATACCACCGTTCGTCGCCGTCCTGGTCGGTCCGTCGAAAATATAGTCGTAGTGTGCGGGAAGGTCTGGCCGAGAATCCAGGCACTTCCATTGAATTGAACCTTACCAGACCCACTTTGCAACGAATTTTGACAAAAGATCTGTGCTTGCATGTGTACAAGGTTCAACTGACGCAAGAACTCAAGCCAACGGACCACGCTCAGCGGCGTGAATTCGTTGATTGGGCGCTGGAGCACCACCAAATTGATGCGGATGTCTCGAAGAAATTTTCTCTGATGATGCTCATTTTCAACAGAACGGGCACGTCAATAAGCAGAACTGCCGAATTTGAGGTTCTGAAAACCATCGTATAATAATCGAACAACCAATACAACCGCCGCGAGTTACCGTTTGGTGCGCAGTGTGGAGTGGCGGAGTGGTTGGACCGCATTTCTTCAAAAATGCAGATGGAACTGCGGTAATTGTTAATGGCTTGCGGTATCGCGAAATGTTAACCGAGTTTTTGTGGCCCCAGTTGGATCGAATTGATGAGGAGGATATGATCTTCCAGTAAGACGGTGCGATTTGCCACACCTCACGCGAAACAATGATGTTTCTGCGGACCAAGTTTCCAGACCGTGTCATCTCTCGGTTTGGCGATCAAAATTGGCCACCAAGATCGTGCGATCTAACACCAATGGACTTCCAGCTCTGGGGCTATGTGAAAGAAAAGGTGTATGGGACTAGCGACAAACAGTTGAACGCCTTAAAGAAGAGGTACGGCGCGTTATCGACGAAATAGAGCCACAGTTGTGAGAACACGTTATCGAGAATTTTATGGAAAGACTGACCCTATGCCAGAGGTTTCGTGGTGGCCATTTACCGGATGCCCTATTTCATGTTTAATCGCAACTATTCATCTTCATGTTGAAATATAAATTCTCCCTTAATTCGAAAAGAAATTGTGTTTTTCTTGAAAATCAAATAAGGCGCTCTTACTGAGACACAAGTTACACCACGCCGTCTCGCGGGCACATACTGTTGTACCACCTTGCGATACGATTTTTCGGATTAGCATCGGTAACAACGAGTACGTTTGAAAAACAACTACTTGGGAGAAAGGAAAAATGGGCGCCGGCGGGCTTCAAGAGCTGATCTCGTCCATTCCGTGGAGCCAAGTTGTTGTTTGTTAAACATACCTGCTCCTAGGGATTACTCATCCGAATAATTGAATACTGGCAGAATTCTACCGTAACTATCTACTACATCCACGCCAGTAGATGTGGCAAGTAAAATAATACGTACTTGGAAAGAATACAAGTATCCAGGTTCTGGATGCATCAGGTATGGCCACCATAATCTGGGATGTTCCACCGTTAAAGTGCCGAATGATTCCTCGCTACCAGCGACTACAGTTTTATTTTTGTCCAAAAGGCTTATCCTACAGGTGGTGTTCCCAGCGTCACCCAAGACACTGACATTGTACTGGAGAAGCGCTGAAAATATAATGTTCTGTTAGTTCCGTCCAGACTTTTGCCGAGAAGTCTCGAGAACAGGCAAGCGCGAAAACGAGGTGGTGAAAGGCATTAGACACATTAGAGAGCTTTAGCAATCGCGATTTAAGCATACGAAAACGTTTAAGTTGACATTTAAGTCATATGAAGTCAATAGATTATAAGTTATCGTTAACGTTTACGCATGTGTTAGGGTAAACCAGAGCAAAGTGAGTACCCTGGGTAAAGGTTCCTTCGGGTCTTACATCCAAAACACGACTTGGCTGTCACCAAAAGGTATATGAACATGTGTGTTCAACTTTCTTTAACAGGCGGCAATCCGTTATAGGAGAATCAGAGTCCTTATTTGACTACCAAACTAACAAAATTTGTTTTTGCAACAAAAATAATGATTTTGCAAGACAGGTGTTGTGCTCATAATTCCAATTTTATATGTCTATAAGAACTACTTTTTATTGAATTGAAGCGCCCTCGTATACTAGAATTATTTGGTACCGATTAGATGCCCTTGCAACATTGGTGCTTAGGCAACCAGAATTACACGGTCGTATTCTGAGCGCGTGCGCGGACAATTGACACGCTTCAAGAAGTATCTACTTCCATCTAGAAGGCTTTTACGAAGGTGGATTTCGATCAAGAAGCGCGGGAACGGTCTGGAATTCGTCCATTTCAAATAAATACCCAGGCAAAACTCCAGCAGAAGCACAGTCGAGTAGCTGACAGCGCAGAACGCGATAGTCCAGTTGACATGGTTGTATATTTGTGATAAAGTGCAAGTGTTGAGCAGACACTGTAATGTATACTTTATGTGGTAGCATGAAGTTTACAGAATATTTTTGTATAAGATTTAGTTTCTAATAATTTGTTATATGAATTCACTTTATCCAGGGGATCTGAACAAAGTGGATAAATCATTTATAAGAGAATCATAGAACGCTAATGTGGTACGTACTCCAAATATTCCTAAAATATATAAATATTGCGCTGTAGGTCTGTAGCGGTGTCTCCGTGTCGACATCGCCGCAGTACACCACTTAGAATTTGTTATCTATTGCGCTAGCCACAGCTGATGGTGGCCTACAGGCGCACACGCAACGCCAACGATTGCAAGTTATTTCGAATTATGAGCACATTATACATTGGACTTTGATACCGGGATTAAAGGCTTCTCAATGATATAATGCCTTTGAGTGATACTAAAGACGTAACATTTACAACCCCCGATTCCCAATTTTCAACGCCTGCAATTTTTTTTTTTCGAAAATGGTGAGGACCCTCTGCAACGTACTTAAAAAAAACTTTGAGCGATTTATATTTTTTATTCTTCCGCCCCAAACCCGAAATATTCGCGATTACAATACCTCCCCGCCCAGTGGCGTTCTTTTGCGACAATATTTTTATACATAGCTGGCCATAGTCGTTATCCCTTTTAGATTTGCCAGGCAACGTGGTATCTATTCTTACCTTGTGACTCCCGAACATCAATAGTAAATACTGTTATATCATCGATATACGTTTTCGGCGTGGTGTACATGTAGACAGGTCTGTCTATTCCGGCATAGTTGAAAAAGTCGAAAGTGTAGTCTTGGTGCAATCGGCCACTGCAAAAAACTTGTTAGAAAAAATGTTTCCGAAAAACAAAATGTATGCAATTACTTTTCTAGCTCAGAGACTCTTCCTTGAGGGACGGTGTCAGCGAGGAGGGTGTTATCGCAAGCTACTGTCATTCTGTTTTCTTTTCCGAATTTCAAGTATTGGGTTACTTCTGAGAGGAAGGGCAGGTGACCTATTTCGTGGCTCATCACTAGGTGTCCATTGACCCACTATAAAAATAATAAGAAAATATCAGTGCGCCGATTCTGAATAACCCAAGATTTTCTGTTGAAAAGTCACAAATCTCGTTTTTTTCAGAAAAATTAATATAATATTCCTAGTCTATTACGAACCGGAATTACGAACGTAAGACAGCCCAGTCAGAAAAAATAAAACTGAATGTTGTTTACGAATGCACGAAAAAAGTAAAAACAAAATACTTCAGTGTGGTTTTGGTGCACCTTTACTGCAGGCAGATTAAATCAAAAAAACCTTGTTCACGAATGCTTTTTCTGAAGTAACAAATACGTACTAATACAAACAAACAGTACATAGAAGAAGACTGCAAAGTAGAGCAAACTGTACACTTGATAATAACTTACCACTTGTGCAGCATATGAGACAGAACCGAATCTCACCCATATTCTTTCCACATCCGACCAATGTCTTGGAACATAGAATGTTCTGTCATACCAAACTAAGCCTACGTGATCTCTTATCTTCCAATTTGTTGTGACGTCATTGTAACTGGCCGGTACTGGCATTTGTATCACTTCCAATTTCGGGACCTGAAACGTTATTTTTTTGTGACAGGCATTTATACAGTTTTATTTAGGAACTTGGAGAAATTCAAAAATAGAAATGTAAAAAATCATTTAAAATACAATTTTGAATACAGCATCCTTATTGAAATGCTAAATGCCATTTGTAGGACCTGATAGATCAACTCGACAGGATCTGATTCTCAGCCTAGCTCCGTATACGTCAAGCCAAAACCGGGTGATAGGCAAAGTCATAACAGCTATCAGAAAAATATTTAAAAAAACTTTATGTATGTGTTTTGAAAATTATAGGTCTTTGAAAAAAATATAGAAATTTCACACCCTACGGCGGTCTGTCAACTCCTGTTACTACAAATATTAACTTTTTTTGGATTTTATTTTTACAATGTAATGATGAATAATGCATCTTCAAACTGGTGTCTCAACCTTACTCGTTCAGGAAAAATTGCCACTTATTTCCCAACCAAGTATTCCAAAGTAAAACTTTGCTCAACTTTAACTGGCTGTACTGGAAAAAAATGTACTACGAGAGTTTGGCAAGTAACCTTAAAAGTTGGCGCATTTAATAAGGATTCCAAAATGGTATAACACTTAGAAGATTACTCGTTAACTTATGCACAATTTTTATTTGAAGAAAAACTGATGAAAATTTTTCAAAATTTCCTAATGAAATAGCGATTATGAAAACGCACAAGGACCCTTAAGGATAACTGTTTGCACAACAGTGGGCGTCAAAATGCTGCTGATGATGATTTACCTTTACAGCAAATGCTCAGTTTTCCTTCAGCCGCAATACACGCTCGACATCTTCTTAAAAAAGATCGGGTTATTAAACGAGCGAATCCACGGTTATTAACAAACTCAGCTGCTTCCAATAGTCTTTGCCGTAGCTCAGCTACATTTTGAATCGGCTTGAAATACACTTTTTCTTTTACAGTTCCCCAGTAAAAAAAATCTAACGGATTCAAATCTGGTGACCGGGCTGGCCACGGTATTGTACCAGACCGCCCTATCCATCTGCCTGGAAAGCTTTGATCGAGATACTCTCTCACTGAGAGTGCGTAGTGCGCTGGGCAGCCATCATGCTGAAACCACATGTCCCTGTAAATACTCAGTGGCACGTCCTCCAATAAATTTTCTAAATGATTTTGCAAAAAACCTAAATAAACCTCAGCAGTCAAAGTCTCTGGGAACTCAAACGGACCGATTATTTTACCATTTAAAATTCCTGTCCAATGGTTTATCTTGAAGCGATACTGAGATTTATCTTCTCTCATCAAATGTGGGTTTGCTACGTGCCACTCGTGTAAGTTATGCAGGTTCATGTACCCATCTTTCTTAAATGTGATCTCATCTGACCATAAAATTTTTGCAAAAACACGTGCTCCATCCATACCACATACAGCGTGTTCAACCTCTCCTGCCCCGGGATTATGAGCCCCGAGTTGCCTTTTGACGCACAATGTTAGAAAGACACAGGAAAGAGCCACAGTTCTTTGAAAAAATTTTATGATCAAATGAGACCACATTTAAGAAAGATGGGTACATGAACCTGCATAACTTACACGAGTGGCACGTAGCAAACCCACATTTGATGAGAGAAGATAAATCTCAATATCGCTTCAAGATAAACCAAAATAATCGGTCCGTTTGAGTTCCCAGAAACTTTGACTGCTGAAGTTTATTTGGATTTTTTGAAAAATCATGTACAAAATTTATTGGTGGACGTGCCACTGAGTATTTACAGGGACATGTGGTTTCAGCATGACGGCTGCCCAGCGCACTATGCACTCTCAGTGAGAGAGTATCTCGATCAAAACTTTCCAGGCAGATGGATAGGGCGGTCTGGTACAATACCGTGGCCAGCCCGGTCACCAGATTTGAATCCGTTAGATTTTTTTTACTGGGGAACTGTAAAAGAAAAAGTGTATTTCAAGCCGATTCAAAATGTAGCTGAGCTACGGCAAAGATTATTGGAAGCAGCTGAGTTTGTTAATAACCGTGGATTCGCTCGTTTAATAACCCGATCTTTTTTAAGAAGATGTCGAGCGTGTATTGCGGCTGAAGGAAAACAGTTTGAGCATTTGCTGTAAAGGTCATCATAGCAGCATTTTAACGCCCACTGTTGTGCAAACAGTTATCCTTAAGGGTCCTTGTGCGTTTTCATAATCGCTGTTTAATTAGGAAATTTTGAAAAATTTTCATCAGTTTTTCTTCAAATAAAAATTGTGCATAAGTTAACGAGTAATCTTCTAAGTGTTATACCATTTTGGAATCCTTATTAAATGCGTCAACTTTTAAGGTTACTTGCCAAACTCTCGTAGTACATTTTTTCCAGTACAGCCAGTTAAAGTTGAGCAAAGTTTTACTTTGGAATACTTGGTTGGGAAATAAGTGTCAATTTTTCCTGAACGAGAACAGTTGGCAGTAAGGTTGAGACACCAGTTTGAAGATGCATTATTCACCATTACATTGTAAAAATAAAATCCAAAAAAGTTAATATTTGTAGTAACAGGAGTTGACAGACTGCCGTAGGGTGTGAAATTTCTATATTTTTTTCAAAGACCTATAATTTTCAAAACACATACATGAATTTTTTTTAAATATTTTTCTGATAGCTGTTATGACTTTGCCTATCACCCGGTTTCGACTTGACGTCGACTTCTGGGACATCCTGTATAGCAAACTGGTCGATACCATTGCTCCTTCGTTCCAGGGTATCGGGAATGTGAAAGAATTTACTAAGAGGGTTTGTTTACTTCTATTGTCCAGTTCAAAGTTCTTATTAAAAAAAATATCTTGACTTACAACGATCACCATTCTCAATTTTATTATATATATACATGTATATATAATTCTCAATTTTACCTATGTTTTGCCTTTGTGTTTGCTAGAGTATGTGGAAAACGACTGTGCAGTTGAAGCAATGTACCAACAATCACATGAACAAGTGTCTTACCTCTCTAAGGTCCGTTTTGTACCAATGATGCTGGAACCCCATCAAAGGATTATTCGTGTCCGGAACAGCGAAATTCCAGATTCCATCCAAGGAAACCACTTGTCGCGTTTCTGATTCTCTGGGAAACAGGATACCCCCTCTGTGAATACTGGACAGGCATAGTTGAACACAAAATGATGATATTATCACAGATATCTGGATCATGTTTCCGCAGTCTGGAAAAAGAAAACAAAACTGTTAAAGTTATTGACCACTCGCAGCACTGACTTAGGTAGTATTCGAATACTATTTTGAATCCTAATCGGAATACACTTAGCCGGTATTCGGATACTGTCCGAATACATTTGTGCGGTTAGTATTAGACTGAATTTTTTTTAGTCACTACTAGGTATTCTGAATACCGCTTCTGAATTGCAATGTTCGAATACCCACTTATTCAAATCTCGGTACTCGAATCCTGTGTCGGAATTCTGTTTTCGAATACTGTTTGGCTATTCTTATCAATATTGCGTTACGTTTGACGCAACTTAAGCATGTTAAAACACGTTCGCGGTGGCTGTGGATGGCACAAACAAAGTAGCTACGCAAAGTGATTTTGTTTGAATGGACGATGTTGCTTCTGAATTAGTGAATGCCGACAGAACGCTTAGGGATCGAGATGAGATTAGATGCGTATGCACTTGTGCTTGTGGAGTATTGCCAGTCTATTTTATAATAAATTTTAATGCCTATTATAATTTGTGTTTGATACCAGATAAAGTAGGTATACGAAAAGGTTTGTTGATTTTTCAATTATGTAGATATATTGTGTAACATACATACATTTCCTTATTAAGTTTTATTCTATTGTCTATACAAATCTACTAAAGCTCGAATGTTTTTTATTATACAATTATTATACAATATTTTGTTTAATGTCACTGAGTCATTGTGTTTCAAAATAATATTTTGTTCATTAATTTTGTTTATTTAATATAGTCATGTATCTTTGATTTGATCATATATGTTAATAATTTAAGTACATAATTAGAAATCAAAGTTAAAAAGTGCATATAATTTTTTTAGTTGGATATTCAAAACGTATTCATTTTTAAGTGAATCCAGATATTCACAACCGTGATATTCGAATACTTTCTTCTTTGTATTCAAATCTTGACTATTCTCCCACAATTCAAAATGCAGAATTCAGGATTCGAATTCTAATACCGCACTCCAGTACCCCACCCAAGTCTGGCCCAAATGCTACAAAATGTTGATCGCGTTCTGGTCAAATTGAAGGGTCCATGAACAAAAATTCCGCCACAGACTCAGAAGCAGGGCCGGTCCTTCCGGGTATGCGGTGAATGCCCCGCTCGCAGGCGCCAAATTTATAGGGGCGCCAAATACTTGGTTATTTGGTTCCCGTTCCAAAAATATTTTATTTAAGACTTTCCGTTCCGTACACTGAGATAGATATCATTTGCCAATAGCCCTCCGTATCCTGGAGTAGATGCGAGTAGTGGAATGCCAAGTTGCCTACAATGCTTGTGTGTTTATTGTCAATTTTATTGTGATGTGACTAATATACTTCTGCAAACAAGTAAGTAAAAGGGTGAACTGGCACATGTCAATCAATCTAAGGTCCCTTGCACATCTCGTTTTATTTCCAGGCGCCGTCTACGTGTATTTCACGCAATCGGAACGCGCTGTAAGCGCGATGTGATCACAACCAACGTATGTACCTATTTTTTCAAGTTAAGCAGCGCAGCTAAAGCGTGAATCGAGCGTCAACGGCGCCTGAAAAAAAATCGTGGTAACAATAATTAAAAATTGAGAAATTTAGAAATACTTTCCGATGGAGTCTGTTAGCTCATTGTCTCATTGATATTTTTTTCTCTTCGGTAATATGAGCGAAAGCAGTAGGAAAAAATTATCTGGAGCTCAATATAAAAAACACCCACTGAAAACAGAGGCGCAGCGGGAAAAACTTGGTGGATCGCTGACCAAATTTTTCATCGCCGAATCTATCTCCCAATCCAACCGCAGAGCCAGTGATTATTTATTGACGATCAGCAACTATCTACCTCTGAAATGCTGATTCCACTCCATTCACATTCTGAACCCAGTAAGTGAAGATACAGAAGCTGCCCATCGCCGATATTGATATTGCTGATCGCTCTACATGGCCGAATCAATTAAACCATCATCTAGTTCAATCGATCGTGACAAAAGGCGCTAGTCAAATCATGGAAAATTTTCCTGTTGATGAAACTGCTAGAAAATTCTCATCCACTCAATATTTAAGGCAGTTACCAAACGGCGAAAAAGTTAATAGGGATCAAATAATAATAATAATAATAATAATAATAATAATAATAATAATAATAATAATAATAATAGTAATAATAATAATAATTTTATATAATAACCATATTCTACCAATAGAATAGAAAAGATGCCGACAAGGTACAAAGGGGTGTAAGGATCAACACCTTATAAGCAAAATGGTTACGGAAGACGCGAAGAAGAAAATAAAGAATCTTAGCATCGCGTGGGTTGACTACCAAAAAGCATATGATAGCGTGCCCCACTCTTACATTCTCAGGACACTGAAATTATATCGCACCAACCCGATTATGATACAATTTATAGAAGAATCAATGAAGTCATGGAACACAGAACTGTATCTTCACCATCAAGATGGAATGATCCACTCAATACAAAGGGGAATTTTTCAGGGTGATTCTCTCTCTCCATTACTATTTTGTTAGTGTTTGGCACCCTTATCTAGCATGATCAATAAGCAAGGAGTAGGTTACGAGATCACCGAAAACAACAAAATTAGTCACCTACTATACATGGATGACTTGAAAACTTTTGCTAAAAGTGAACAACAACAAAGACAAAATATTGAATATCGTTAAAATATTTAGTGATGATGTACGAATTCAGTTTGGATTAGACAAATGTGCTACAGTAACTTTCAAAATCGGAAAATGTACCCAGAATGATAATATTCAACTGTATGATGGAACAACTATAGAAAGTCTAGAGCAAGGTGAGCCCTACAAATACCTGGGAGTAGATAAGAGGGAAGTTCAGCACGAGAAAATGAAAACCAACACATGAAAAGAATACATCCGCCGTATACGTCTTGTGCTTAAAACAAAACTGAACTCGAAGAATAAAATCGGATTTGGAGGAGAGAGGAACTTAGAGAAATCGACAGAAGAACACGCAAAATACTCACCATGCATGGTATACACCACTCCAAATCCGATGTCGGTAGGCTCTATGTAAAAGGAAGGAATGGAGGTCGTGGACTAATTGAGATTGAATCTGCGTACAACATTGCCATCGTCAATCTCAGCAAATACATTTCAAACAACACCGACCGTATGATAGAATTGGTGAAACAACATGAAGCAAATAAGGCAAAATACTCTTTGCTAAAAATATCTGAAGGTGTCCGTGCGAAGTATCTCCCTGAGGAACAAGCTCCAACAACAGGCGAACAACTTGCTCTCAGAAACAACATTGAAGAGCACATAATCGAATCAATTAAGCTCAAACCACATCATGGTCAATTCTTCCATAGTCTGGAAAAGCCTTACATAGATAGACAGAACACGCTATCTTGGCTGCACAGTTCAGATCTGAAGGGAGAAACCGAAAGTATGCTCATAGCAGCCCAGGATCAAGCCCTAAACACAAGATACCACCAGCTCAAGATTCTGGGCAAACCAGTCGATAGCAGATGTACAAGGTGCAACACAAGAGAGGAAACAATTCAGCACGTCCTTACAGGGTGCACATTTCTGGCAGCAACTGAATATCTACATCGGCATAATAGGGTTGCTACATATACTCATTGGAAAGTTTGTAAAGAACTCCAGGTTGACGTGCCTCGAACATGGTATAGTCATAACCCGCCCCCGGTAATCAACACACGCGAATGCACAGTACTGTGGGACTATTCAATTATAACTGACCGCACCATATCAGCTAATCGTCCCGATATCGTCATTCAAAATATACTAAGCGACTCATAAATCCGAACACCCAGTTTAAATGGTTTTATTCTAATAAAATTTTGTATAAAATATGGATGCACCCTGATGTGCTACGCATTCTCCAACGCGCCTAGGCATGCTTCTGACCAGGTGGTCAATGTTCTCCTGTGGTATCTCATTCCAGGCAACCACCAACTCCTCTCGAAGTGCTTCTAGAGTCTGAGGAGAACGTTGCAAATTGAGCAATCTCCTACCCATCATATCCCACACGTGCTCAATTGGGGATAAGTCGGGAGATCTTGGTGGCCATGGTAACAGTGTGACATCATTATGTTGAAAGAAGTCTATTGTGACTCTTGCAACATGTGGTCGGGCATTATCTTGTTGGAAAGTTGGATCTGCCAGGGTGTCAAGATAGGGTAAAAGATGGTGTTATAGAACTTCTTGGATATAACGCTGCGCGTTCATGTTACCTCTGGTGAAGATTAAAGGTGACCTGGAACCATAAGCTATAGCACCCCAAACCATAACTCCAACAGTGTGATGAACATGTCTTTCAACAAAAAACTGTGGATTCCTCCTTTCACCACGTCGCCTTCTAACCCTGGCACGACCATCGTGCATGCCTAAACAAAATCGAGACTCGTCGCTAAAGACAATACTGTTCCATTCCTGATCCCCGAGTGACCGTTGTCTGCACCACTCAAGGCGATTACGTCGGTGTTCTCGAGTTAAAGGGAGGACCCAGTGTGGCCGGTATGAAAACAAGCCAAAACTTCTCATTTGTCGGTAAACACTTCGCATGCCAATAGGTCTTCCGTGTTCTGCAAACCATTCATTTGTAATGGACCTGGTAGTGGAGAAACGGTCCCTTAAGGCGAATAATCTTAGGCGGCGATCTTCACGGTCTGTTGTTCTACGGCGGCGTCCAGTGCCCCTTGCTCTTTGCGTACGGCCTTCTCAAAGCCATGCCTGACAACACCTAACCACAGTGTCTACACTTCTTTGCACTCTAACTGCAATTGCCTGAAAAGAAAGTCCAGCTTCCCGAAGTCCCACTATACGGCCCCTATCAAACTCACTAAGTTGACGAAATCGTACAGGTCTCCGTACTCTAGGTATCGTAACCGATCGTAAAGGATGTCAAGAACCAAAATTCGCCAACGTTGATTCTTTACTGCGGCTGAAATATTCATTTTTAGAGCATTAGTGAATTAAAAAAA